AAAAACCTCTCCAAAAAAAAAAAAAAAAAAAAAAAAGAAAAAAAAAAAAAAAAAAGAACTGAGGGCGAATGCAAATGCCTAGAGCAAGGGTATCTGTTCCTGGAAGCCTAGGAAAACGTGAGGGGAGTGAGGCCACACGCAGACTGGAAGGCACAGGCTGCTCAGCATTTAAGGTGCTCAGTAAAAGTTCATAGACCTTCCCTGTCCTGTTACTCTGGTAATATGACTTCACAATACCCAACCTTGCTGCTGTCCTACTCCTGCTATCGATCTTGCTTTGTCTAGTTAATAGGCTTCATGGTCCCACCCCCCCACCCCACCCCCTAGAGGTTTTTGCTATAGGGCGCGTGCACTTGCCAGAAAGACAGAAAGTGAGAAATCACCCCCCAGGGAGGATGGCCACGCCACAGTCTCTTCTCCTCCATTCTCCTCTCGGGATCTTGGGCATGCACACACACGCACACATGCCGGGTGTGAGTTTAAGCCACCGGGTCCAGGACTCGAACCACAGTCAACTACATGGGAGTCCAACAACATAGCCATTACGCTAACTTCTGGTCCCAAGGCTTCATGTTTTATAGCAGTTTTAGGTTCATAGCAAAATTGAGCAGAAGGTGCAGGGCGTTCTCATATGGGCTGGTTCCTACATATGCATTCCTCCCCCACTGTCAACATCCCCCACCTGAGTGCAGTGTTTGTTACAATTAGTGCACCTAGTTTACATTAGTGTCTACTCTTGGTGGTACATGTCCTATGGGTTTGAATGAATGTGTAATGACATGTGTCCACCATTATAGCATCATACAGCATGGTTTCGCTGGCCTAAAAATCTCATATTTCTGTGTCCTCACTGAAACTTGTGGGGTTTTTTTGTTTTTTGTTTTTTGTTTTTTGGAGAGATTTTTGCTATAGGGCGCGTGCGCTCGCCAGACAGACAGAGAGACATAGAGACAGAAAGCGAGAAATCACCCCCCAGGGGGGATGGTCACGCCGCAATCCCTTCT